GGAAGGAGTACAGAAGCTAAGAGTGGAAGACCTCTGGGACTGGTTGGATAAATTGTTCGGGAAATGGGGTTTAAGCGGCTGGTTAAAAGGACTAGCCAAGCTAGGAGGGCTATGCTTGGTAATGTTCCTTTGCATCCTGGTTTGTGTGCCGTGTCTATTACAGGGCATGCGGAAAATGATTGAAAGATCGGTTTCAGCAGTGTTTCTAGTAAAACAAAAAGGCGGAGATTTGGGGATGGGAACCTCACTGACGGACATTACTGAATTTGATTTTGCTGAGAAAGCCCTGTTTCCTTGAAGCACGAGAAGGCACGTATGCAGAAGATAACGGAGGAAGGAATGTGCTGCTCTAAGGAGAAAACAAGGTAAGGGCCATGAAGGCATTTCGCATGATCAGGGAAAACGGGCCAATCTGCTAAGAACATAGAGTGCATGGACACAAGGCTATGACCTATCTGCAAGCTGCAGGTAGTGCATGAACACCTCTGCTTGCTATAAAAAGTGTTAACAAAGAGCAATAAAGGTCTTTGGTTGCTGCCTGCCGGAGTCCGTACCGTTAATCCCCACACATGACAACACTTCCCTTCCATAAGACAAGGGGAGATCAGGAAAGTGAAGGGAGACATTAATTTTTCTGCTTTCTCCCATCTGGTACAATTAAGTACTTGAGAGAAAGATAAAGCAGAGGTTATATATTCTTGATCCTGGGCAAATTACATAAATCTATGCACTGGTTCCCAACTTGCTAGCATGCAGTGTTATTGCTGTGCTACTGTTACATGGTTATATCGTTAAGGTCCATGACAAAATCTAATCATTCCCCTCGCTTATTTTATGCGTGACTTATGCATGATGCTTCCTGTGTTTGTACAGATTCCAGATGTTACAGAATAGACACAGATAAAATTAAACAGCTGATAGTCAGCCAGCCATCATTCTGTCATACTTTTAGGTAATTAACGTGTATATGTTGATAGATTTAAATACTCCCCAGAAGCCTTTGTATTAAATTTCATTTGGGACTGAAAATGGAGAATCTCCAAAATGTCAGCTTAGCTGTTTATATTGCCAAGTTAGGCAAAAGAAGGTATGTGTAACTGTTGAGGCTTTTGACGGAGCTCTGGTTCGTCTAACACTTGTCTGCTCTGCGCTTGCTGTCTTCTGCAGCCAGGGACCTCGTGGGTGACCACAGGAGAGGGGCCGTGTGAGAGCACTGTTGTGGTGCACAGCCAGACACCACGTATATCACAGGTATTGGTCACTACAGATGGAAAACGTCAGATTTCCCAGTTATTTCACCATGCAGACCTTTCTATTTCTGCAGCTTCCTGAAGCTTTACTCATTTCAGTCTAAATGCACTTTTTCAGTTTTCTAGTGATTTTGTGCTACTTTTGTTTTCCAATTATATGAGAAAGAAACAATTTCTTCCAGCCAATGAAGTAATGAGAAAGAAAAGTGATTTTCAGTCCATCTCACTTTTACTAACCAAAATTAACTAAATGAACCAAAATGATTTTATTCCAGGTCAATCTAAAACATAATACTTAAATTTTCAGTTCTTGTAAAAAATAAGGAGAAACTATGAGGGCAGACTTCTTTCATTTCAGAGACCAATAGTTCAGACGCTCCCCAGGATGGTGGAAGAGCTGGTTTCACTTTGTGCTTCCGACCAGAGGACCAGAGCCAGTGGCTCCCATGGGAGCTCTCTAACCACCGGGCTTTGGTGGCTCTGCAGTGGATGCTCTTGCTGCTGTTTCCACTGCCGTTGTCCTCCAGTGGACGCATTTTTCTCTCCACTGTTTTCTCTCCTCAAACTGAAGCTGTCATCCTTCTGTCTGTTAGGTTCTCCTCCCGATGGTCTCAATTTCCTAGGGTTTTTTGGGAGCTTGTGGAATTGACTGTTTTCCCTTTGTTTGTTCTTTAAACTGTGATCTCCTGGGTTCTGATTTTTGTTTATTCCCCCCCAAAGAAAAACCCCAAACGTACACCTTAGTTCCCAAACAGACTACAGCATGGAAGATTTCTGCATTGGTAAGAAAATTTTTGTTTCTAAGCCAGTAGACCACAAAGGTTCCTCAGGGGCCAAAGAGATTTTCTGAGCTCAGGATAATTTCTAAACAACATCAATTTAACCTTTGCAGAAGAATTTATTTTAACCTAAAGAAAAACACTTAGGATAATTTAGGCTGACAGGTATGGAAAATCTAATAATAGGGATTTAAAACAAAACATTGCCACAAATTTGGGTGAATAAAAATAGGACAGTCTTTTCTTAGCACTTTCAACAGTACAGAGAGCATGAGGAGAATAAGAGCACTGTTATGCCCTATTAACAGATACTGTGATGGAAAAAGCTTTCCACTGAGAAGTTTCATTATTTTATGTTGCAGGGTAGCGGCTGTCATGTGAAAAACTGTTGCTGTCATCCTAGCTCTGTGTATATTGTCCTCGTACAAGTTGTACTTTAAAGCCATAATAGAATTTTAATCCCTGGTTTGCTAAGGGGTTTCTTTGGTCTTTTATTTGTTTGCCAAAATATAGCTTGATATTTTAAAACAAAGTATGATTGACTCTTTAAAAGCATATAGGTAAATCTGATTCAGCAACTGCTCTTTGTGCTGCTCAAGTCTGCTTTCTGAGTCAGTTTGTTGGCAGAGTTGGAAGGACCATACCCTCTGGCCACTGTGTTGTGTATACTTTGCAGTTTTTGTTTTCTTGAAGAAAGTAATTGAACAGATGTCTTTCAAAAAAATCTTTAGTCAAATTGTCTTTAAAAATAGCAATTTTTTGTGACTAATGAGAAGCACCTTGCCTTGAATGGCTTGAAACAAGCACCAGTTCTCTGAGGAGCAAACCTTTCCATGTAGCTAAAATAGTGAGACATGCAAAGCAAATAGTAGCTTTTAAGAATCTTTTCCAGTTGTCTTATTTACAGAGACTTTAGATTATTCCTGATAAAGTCATCAATATAAATATAGCTTCTCTTAACTCCTGCAAGTTCGATACAACTCTCCCTTTTTAGTGGAGACCCTGTTTTAGAAGAGAAAATGTGCATGGTTAATTCCTACAGTTGTGGGATTTATATATATAGCCTACAGCACTTCTGTTAAAACATCAAAATGCAGTTTTCTCCTCATGATCATGGAGGAAACTTGTATGTGGGCTTAGTGGGGCTGAATAAAGCCAGGAAGCCAGAGTGTGTGCTTGGGAGGGTAAATCTGCTTTTCTTGGTGTACTTTCCCTTTGTTCCCCTGTGGAAGTTCACTGGGGACACAGCAGAACGCCCCGGGCAGCTGTGGGTGACAACAGCCCGTAGGAGCAAATACTCCAGGGTGAAGCACTTCTGCAGTCTGGGTCTTTGTTGGTGTCTCAAAATCCATAGCAGAGCCAACAGAGGTTCTCCAAACAGCTGTAGAAACACTGCTGTGTGCAAGAAAAGAGGAGGGAGAGAGGGGGGCACACGAAAGGAGAGTTATTTGCAGCTCCCCAGGCTGGACCTCACTTTGCGTTCCCACCTGGAGGGCAGCCTTCCTCAGGGGAATGCCAGTTCCATGGGGTTTTGCGGTTTATTATTCAGGTATAATAAATCGTCATGAGAGAAATACAGCTAAAAGCTCACTGTAGCTGTCCTAACAATGTACAAAACAAAAAGCAGGGCCGTATCTCAAGCCCATGGTTACTGCCACAAGGGGGGAAAGACTATTCACGCGGTTTGTGGTAAGGGAACAGGTCCCTTTGGGAGGGCATCCAGAGCACCTAGGAGTTCAACCTCACCATATGGCTGTGCTGATCTATCAGTTCCCCACTGCTGGTGCTCTAGCTTCAACCTTTGTCCACATCCCTGGCATCAATACTGCTGTGTCTCTGATCCCATGGGTGTAGTCTCTGTCAGTCCCATGGCATCTGGATACGGTGGCCAGAGCTGGGTACTGGTAATGGGGTTTGTCGATACCCCCAGGCTCGATAAAGGGTGAAGCAGGCTTGGGGTTCATCCAGGAGGTCCAGTTGGGAGGGAAGAAGAGGGGGTCCAGAGGCAGCCCTGCAGACCAGGCTGCAACACATTGTGGAGGTTGGAAAAGCTCTTTTGTTTCCTTTTCCTCATATGTGTCTTCAGTTGTTTCTTCCTGAGCATATTTCCTTTTTTTTTTGCATATTTGCATATCTGCTGTGTTTTCATGCACAGTAATCCATTTTTCTTTTGAATTTAGGGAGAATAATTATTTCTGATTGATAGGCCAATAAGCAATGAAAAGTGAAAGATTTCAAGCACTTTTGTTTATTGATGTGAGAAGGTTCCTAGAAACAGCCTTGTCCAGTTGTACTGCATGAACTCACCGATTCTGAATAAACTAACATGAGATGGCAACAAGGTATGTGCCAGACTTCTCATCCTGCCAGTTGCACTGCCAGCTTGGAAGTGTCAGGACCTTAGGAAATAACATGAAACATTATGTCTTGAATATATATGTCTTGAATAGCACTTTGAAAATCACACTGATATTTTAAAACAATACAGTTCATCATCCTCTCTGTCTCTTTTCTCTTTAGTGTTGATTACAACAATCAGCAACGCTGTGCCTGCCAGGGAGATAATATTCAAGTTGAAACTGGATTTCTTGTTTGTGGTGAAAAAAACCAAAGACTTCAAATATCTGACTTGCACACAAAAGGTGAAGGGCACCATGGAGTGCTGTGACTGTTAGAAAATGAAGAAGCTTCTCATAAATTATAAATAGACTTTACATCCTTTTGAAATGTGGAAAAGCTCATTTAAACAATTATTAAATACAATTTTAAAAGTAGCTGTTTGCTCCAGGATGCAAGATACAGAGGAGCAGCCAGCTGGTGGGATGCGGAGGCGAAAAGGCTGGGGGACGGGATGGTCTCCCTCTCCCCCTGCCCCTGAGCTCCACAGTGTATTCTTCTGCTGTCCTTAGCTCTCTCCTGATCAGATCTGTCAAATAAAAGACTTATTTTATTGTAAGCTTATAGTTCATCCTGTTTTTATTATTCAGTGCTACAGTCTCCCAATGTGTAGAAAACCAAAAAATGCACAGTCTTTGCCTTTGAGAAATTACACTTTAAGCATCAGATATGCTTGAAGAAATGAAAGCAGA